ACGCGCACCTCGCCATCGACCGCCTGCTCGACCCGGAAGGTGAGCTGCCCGCCCCGCTCCGCCCGCCCCTCCCCGCCCTCACCCCTCGCCGTGCCTCGAGCACGCCTTCGCGCTCGCGCACGCGCACCTCGCCATCGACCGCCTGCTCGACCCGGAAGGTGAGCTGCCCGCCCCGCTCCGCCCGCCCCTCCCCGCCCTCACCCCTCGCCGTGCCTCGAGCACGCCTTCGCGCTCGCGCACGCGCACCTCGCCATCGACCGCCTGCTCGACCCGGAAGGTGAGCTGCCCCGCCCGCCCGCCCCTCCCCGCCCTCACCCCTCGCCGTGCCACGAGCACGCCTTCGCGCTCGCGCACGCGCACCTCGCCATCGACCGCCTGCTCGACCCGGAAGGTGAGCTGCCCGCCCCGCTCCGCCCGCCCCTCCCCGCCCTCACCCCTCGCCGTGCCTCGAGCACGCCTTCGCGCTCGCGCACGCGCACCTCGCCATCGACCGCTTGCTCGACCCGGAAGGTGAGCTGCCCGCCCCGCTCCGCCCGCCCCTCCCCGCCCTCACCCCTCGCCGTGCCTCGAGCACGCCTTCGCGCTCGCGCACGCGCACCTCGCCATCGACCGCCTGCTCGACCCGGAAGGTGAGCTGCCCGCCCCGCTCCGCCCGCCCCTCCCCGCCCTCACCCCTCGCCGTTCCTCAAGCACGCCTTCGCGCTCGCGCACGCGCACCTCGCCATCGACCGCCTGCTCGACCCGGAAGGTGAGCTGCCCGCCCCGCTCCGCCCGCCCCTCCCCGCCCTCACCCCTCGCCGTTCCTCAAGCACGCCTTCGCGCTCGCGCACGCGCACCTCGCCATCGACCGCCTGCTCGACCCGGAAGGTGAGCTGCCCGCCCCGCCCCGCCCGCCCCTCCCCGCCCTCACCCCTCGCCGTGCCTCGAGCACGCCTTCGCGCCCGAGATGGAGCTGCCTTGCCTCCCCTTCCCGGACCGCTCGCACTAGAGTTCTGATTTCCTAAGATTACCTATAGATATTATATAATGATATGCTGTCATATAGCGGGTTTAACACAGCTGCTGCAAAAAGACGCCATGTGGAAAGTTCCATCACCGTTACGGTCATTTAACATTAGTAATTTACTTGAAGGCTAAGCAGTCATCAGAAGAGGAAAATAATCGTATGTAGGAAGATGATTCAAAGCTCATGGTGCAGAAGGTGCATTTGAAATGTTAGTACGTCGCAGTCGCAATGTTAGTGGTGCAGAAGGTGCGTTTGAAATGTTAGTGCGTGTAAAAAAAATCACGTCCTCCATTTACATATACATTTATAAGTAAATGGAGGATGATATTTTTTTTACATGTGTATCCCATCATGTGGTTATCGTTGGATAGATCTTTAATAAACACTGGAGGTGTGGGAAGTATCTAAAATAAAAATGTTTTTTAATATTTTATTTCACAGTTTTCTAGGCGTGATTAAAATATATAACTATGCCAAATTACAGATTTGTAACGCCTAGGGTCTCTGAGGAAAACCGCAGACCGTCGGACTAACGGTTGGACATGGCGAAACTATAAAAACTCGTTGTTGTGTAACTGCGGAACCCTAAAAACGTTCATTAACTATCAGGCACCGTCAAGACGGCCACCATGCAAATAGCTGCAACTAAGGTTATGGCGATTTGTGACACCGCATCGTTAGTTGCTACCGTCTAGGAAACCATGCTATCTTTTTTACATTGACAATGTTATAGTGTCGTCGTTCACCGCTTTTATTAGGCCGCCATTTAGCGGCACCGCCATCCTAGTAAATTAGAACTTCACACTCCGCCGTCTCCTGTTGCAGACGTGCACACGGCCAACCCGGACAAGAAGTCCATCATGATGTATGTCATGTGCCTGTTCCAGTCTCTGTCGAATGCGCGCGACGATCTGCCCGAGCCCGCTGAGGTAAGTCACACAATCACACTGCTACAGCTTCATTTGCTACTCATTAACAGTTTACAGTTAATATGAATGTTAAGCAATAGTGAGAGTGCAAGCTAGTTGAATAAATTTTTATTTATTTAATTTCTTTTTTATCCATAATTTTCATTCAACCATTTTAATTTTTATTCCTTTATTAAAACATTATTTAAATTTGAATATAGTTGTTTCAATTCGGTTTTAATGACAAAAATATTTAATTATTCGAATATATTTATCTACCAGGAGGTCTACTCTAATTCAACGAAAAACGAAATTTCGATCGAAATTTCGCTCAATTCCTACCATGGTTTCATTCGATTCGAAACTTCGTTGAAACGAAATTAGTTTGACGTTTAAATTCTCTAAGCCTACTCTATTGCACTAAAGTTACGAACGAAAATTGAAGTTTGACAGATACTTGTTCGTAATTTTAACCTCAAATTGACGAAACCAAAAGTGTTAACTTTTTATTTTCGTTTTGGTCGATTTTGTTAAAAATTTAATTAAAATGGCTACGAGACAGCTTTTAATCGCGGCTGCTTTACGTGAAGAACGATTGGAGCGTAGAAGGAACCGGCGCCGCCTGCGTAATCAATTAAATATTTCAAATATTCCCGATCTAGAGTTTGTCGGAAATTACAGACTCAGTCGGGAATTATTCGAGGAGTTGTGCCAGGACATAGTGCCTTTATTGCCTCCAAAGGGAAGACGACATGGAATCGAGCCCACACTTAAAGTAAGTTTAAATTGTTTAAACACTCCCTTCTCTTTAATTTTTCATTTTACTGTTCATAAGCCTCAATCTGTGTTAATGTATTTCAGATACTTACTGCTTTGAACTTTTATGCCCGAGGAAGTTACCAGGGGTCAGTGGGACAAAATATGGATGGGCCCATGGCACAACAGACAGTGTCCCGTTGTTTACAAGAGGTAACAACTGCACTTAATGCACCCCACATACTAAGGAAGCACATAAGATTCCCACAAAATAGGAATGAAAGGAATCTTATTAAGCAGAAGTAAGTACTTACCTTCCTATCTAGTACATGTGAAATACCTAGTAATTAAAATATTATTCTGTTATTTTAAATGAACAATTTACATAAAAAGTGTGCCAAGACTAGGCAAATAAGTCATGCAAAAACAAATATAATTTTATTGTACAATTTACTATTCTATAATAATATTGTATCCTTATTGTAGATTTTATGATAAATATGGGCTAGCCGCTGTGGTGGGGTGCATCGATTGTTCACATGTAGCCATAGTGAGGCCTTCGGAGCACGAGGAACGATATTTTAATCGAAAACATTTTCATTCGATTAATACTCAAGTTGTAAGTTTATGTACAATATTTTAATGTTTTTATTATGACATTCACTATTTTATTACTTACATTTTATCCTATGTTACATTGATGGAAATTCTTTTTCAGATATGTGACAGTGATTTATTAATTACAAATGTTGATGCTTCATATGGTGGAGCAACTCACGACGCTTATATTTGGAGGGAATGTGAGATAAGAAACCACTTGGAGGGTCTCCAGGATGAAACAGTTTATCTATTAGGCATGTCTTGATTTATAGTTTTGATATTCATTATGTGTAAGTAATGTGATGATGCAATTTACACTAATATTATATTTTTAAATTTTTAGGTGATTCTGGTTATGCTCTAAGGGAGCATATGATGACACCTGTAGATAATGCTGTTGAGAACTCTCCAGAGGGAAGGTACAATTACCTCCAAAAACGTGTACGCTGCACCATAGAACGCACATTTGGTGTATTGAAGGGTCGATGGAGATGTCTTTTGGCAGCTAGGGAACTCCATTACTGCCCAGAAACAGCAGGTAAAATTATATTAGCCTGCTGTGTTTTACACAACATGTGTATAAGGGCTGGTATTGAAGGTCCCGAGTTGACTGAAGAGGAACACCAATCGGAGAGAACCAGGCAGGTTCCCTTTGAAAGAGCCGCATCTTCTACTCAAGCTCTACAGGCAGGTCGAAGGGCAAGGAATTCATTAATACAAATGTTAGAAAGGAACCGGTAAGATAAACTCAAACCAAACAATTGTGCAAGTAGATTAAAATAAACTCAATTAAAAACTTTTTTTGTTTTAGGAGATAATCATCATCATCATCATATCAGCCACATTTAAGCCGTTTATTTGTGATTAAGTAACAATCAAAATCCATACTTTCTCATTTATAATATTATAGGATTAGGAATTAATATTACTGAAATGTATGGCACTCACTTCTTACCTAAAACATACACTTCTTATCTTGTTATAATTGTAAGCAATGCGTTTTTTTTAATGTTAACTTTTATGTCTAATGAATTTAGTTAATATTGCATATTGTACAACATTATCTACTTAGGTATGAATTTTCGAATAGGTACCTAGTAGACAGTGATTTCTCAACTAGTTGAAAGTTATTTGCTCTTACCTTTCCGATGTGTAGATAATTAATTTCAATACCTGCCCATTGTATGTAAACTTTTGTTAATTTTTGTGATGTAAAATTACATTACCTTAAAGGTCATTTTACAAATTTGATGACTCTGTATGAAATATACAAGAAGAAAAAAATCAGCCCTTAACGAGTTTCTTGCCGGTTCTTCTCGTTACAAGGTCTCCCGCTTAGGGTTTGAGAACCGATGGCGTAGCTTCTTTGACATTCACAAGTGCTTGTAACAGCCTAGATTAAAATATTTTTAGGCATAAAATTAGTTCTGTTTTATTTTTTCACCTACTTATCGTTATCCTACCTACCTAGATGTTCATAAAATGGCAACAAATATTTACTTAATCCTTACCTATGACATTGCAGATATTTTGTCATATACAGAGAAAATAATAACTTCTATGATTTTAAATACTTAACAGTATCTTTATATTATATCGAATTATGGTCATGATAATCAACTCTCAGTAATAATAAAGTTCTTATTTTAGCTTTCTTAATCTGAAAGTACAAATAGTCTCAAAAATAGTAAAAAGAAACAATAGTATTCAAAAATAAATTTATTTAAAACCTAACGCCTATTTTGCCTTAAAAACTCTAAATAATCTCGCCCTATGTCACGCAACTCTTCCAAGGCAGCCCTGATGCCTGCGAGCTCGGTGTTCCTCACTGTCTCTCTCTCTGCACGTCCATCTTCATACTGGTACAACCTGCTTCTGACATCGGAGCCAGCAGCAGATCGTATTCTTCTGGGACGTGCAGATTGTGAGGCTGCAAAACAACATTCCAATATGTTACATTGCAGTAAATACTTAATCAATAAGTATATTTTTTGTGACAAACAATATTTTTCTTGTAATTTTAATCTCGACTGTAGTTTAGTGGTAAGACCTTCATGTATCAAATACATCCATACATACCTTCTTGTGTATCAATTTCGATCGAAATTTCGTTTTTCGTTGAATTAGAGTAGACCTGCTGGCTTTCTTTGCTTTGGTCGGCGTACTCCTCAACTTCTACATGCAAGTCCAGGCTCTGCTGCTGCAGTTGGCTTCCTTGACTGTAGGTTGATGGTCTGGATTCATTCGTCTGAAATGAATATAAAAGATTGAATGCTTAATGTTTAAGTGAAGTATTAATTTTTAATGTCTACCACAATACAAATTGTATTGTATTTTTACCTGATGGGTTAAAAAAAGTAGTATACTCACATAGAAAAATAATTTTGTAAATAAAAATCATATATCATTAAGATAAATATTTGAACATATCAAAGTTTAGAAATAGGAAAACAAAGAATGATGAGGTACTTACTTCAGTGAAAGCTGGCACTCTGGCTCCAATTTGGCGGTCACCGAACCCATCTCCCATTATGGATAAGACTTTTAATTCCGAATGGGAGAGTTGGGGTGCCACTGATGGACCACCTCCAGTCATTGAAGCCGACCTCCGGGAATCAGCAGCGGCTTTTTTGGCCAGATGTTTTCTATCAAACCATACCTATCCAAAATAAAAGTAAATATTAAATCTTTGTCACTCACTTTTCACTGACAAATAGCTTAAGCATTTAATTATATTACTACGAATTACCTTTTGCCACTGCTGAACTGTCTTTGTGCAACCGCCCATGGAATTGAGCGTATTGCACAATTCATCCCACAGCCTCTTCGCCTGGACTTTTCCTTCTAGACTCCTCAATCTCCCGCGAGCAAGATCCCTATGCTCGTCCAGGAAATTGAGGAGTGCATCAATTTGTTCAGGAGTAGCCGAACCCGTATGTGGAGCCATTATTTTACACTGAAAGATGAGATGAAAATAAATTATAGGTACCTATTATTACAAAAAAATATGTTATGGAAGTATTATAAGTGCAAAACAATTAACATTACTTACACTCTTTCTGAATATAAAATCAAATTAAACCAAATAGAAGTCTTTGTGGACCAAAGGACGCCCATATGAAGACTGCGACTTGAAATTGAAACTTTGTCAGGGAATGTGTATCGAGTTTGCAAAGTAGGCAAAGAAAAAAACAAAACATATTAATAACTCTTCACTTGAGCACACAGGAAAGAATCTCTACCTACATCTTACACTTGAGCTTGAGAAACAAACTTAAAACTATTCAAACTTTCAAAGAATGCAAACAAAAAATCCACAAGTGATGACTGACAGCATTGTGATAATACGGATAAGTTTGGTTGTTATACGATACTATAAACACCGTTTGTTATTATTGTACACCTTAACTTAGTCGGTTAACGGTCATTGAAAGGGTTATTTTAGTGTCACTGTGATTTTCTTCGAAAACTTGTATATTTATTGCTTGTGTAAGATTTTTTGGAATAATATGCATAAAAAACCACGATTATTTTAATAAATTCGTAAAATACATAACATTGTTCGTTCCATTCGTTCACGAAAATTGTCTTTGGACTCGAACTTTGCGTGCGCGTCCGAAAATGATATAGAGTAGGGTCAGACACGAAACTTCGTTTAAATTTCGTTCGTTAACGAAGTTTCGTTTCGGAGAAAGAGAGTAGGCCCTCAGAGAAGGAAAGTTACGTATAATACGAACAGTATTGGACCATAAAGCGCTCCCTGCGGAAATACGGTTTTATGTTAAATATAATAATGTTATAGTTATCTTTTCATTCTTAGTTACCTGCTAAGATAACAGTCCCAGTTATTCCAATTACTTGATCTTTGTTTAAAAGATGTGACGATTAAAATTTTAAACCTCCATAGAGTTTATAAACGTACTTAATTTACAAATTAATTAAAATACAGTTGTGTTAATTGATATTCATCAAGATTACAATGGTAATAATGGACAAAATCTTTATTTATATCCGAAAACTATATTTTCGACGCTGTCACTATTTGTTCTGTTTATTGCGCTTATAATAAACAAGTATGTATTGTTTATAATATAAATGATGTAGGTAGACCAACATTACTAACATAGTTATTAAATAAAAAAAATTATCAATAAACTTACACGTAATATGATTCATAAGCGATGCACATACGCTTTTACAACAACATTCCAGAAAATACATAAAATCTGACTATTGCTCAATTAAAAACTATTAATTAAAAAAAGATGGTTATTAGAGAGTGTTATTATCATATTAAATGATTTTTGGATGATAATAATCGTTATCGTGCTATTTCTTATTTGTTTTGTTTTATTAATTATTGTGTAACTTTAATCATTGTAAACTGTTGTTTTTTTTTAAATTAAAGACCCGCTCTATTTTTTGCTGGTTCTTCCCAGGACAGGTATTTTCCGAACCAGTTGTAAATTAGACATAAGAGTGACTTTCATTAAGTATTATTTTTATAATCTATATTGAATACAAGTTTCTATTTTTATTTTCTGTTGATCACTGACCTATACTTTACACTCAATATATCATACACTATATAGATTATAGAGGTAAGTGCTGTGGACTAATAAATGTTTGAATAAAGTTATTATTATTATTGTACGGTTGGAAGGTGTATGTGTGTGCAAAAGTAGTAAGTGTTGTGTCTGTGTGCGCAGAGCACGCCAGCGTCGCGGCCGCTGTCGTCGGCTACGACGCTGTCGGAGCTGGGCGGGTACGGCGCAGCGCTGGAGGAAGCTCTCGCCTGGCTGCTGGAGGCCGAGGAGCGCCTCGCCGCGCAGCCCGACCCCGCCTGCCCCACCTCCCCCACCGACACCACCCCGCCACACCAGGACCTCGCCGCGCTCAAGCACCACTTCCACGCGCACGAGGTACTCACCTACACTCGCCTGGCTGCTGGAGGCCGAGGAGCGCCTCGCCGCGCAGCCCGACCCCGCCTGCCCCACCTCCCCCACCGACACCACCCCGCCACACCAGGACCTCGCCGCGCTCAAGCATCACTTCCACGCGCACGAGGTACTCACCTACACTCGACTGGCTGCTGGAGGCCGAGGAGCGCCTCGCCGCGCAGCCCGACCCCGCCTGCCCCACCTCCCCCACCGACACCACCCCGCCACACCAGGACCTCGCCGCGCTCAAGCACCACTTCCACGCGCACGAGGTACTCACCTACACTCGCCTGGCTGCTGGAGGCCGAGGAGCGCCTCGCCGCGCAGCCCGACCCCGCCTGCCCCACCTCCCCCACCGACACCACCCCGCCACACCAGGACCTCGCCGCGCTCAAGCATCACTTCCACGCGCACGAGGTACTCACCTACACTCGACTGGCTGCTGGAGGCCGAGGAGCGCCTCGCCGCGCAGCCCGACCCCGCCTGCCCCACCTCCCCCACCGACACCACCCCGCCACACCAGGACCTCGCCGCGCTCAAGCACCACTTCCACGCGCACGAGGTACTCACCTACACTCGCCTGGCTGCTGGAGGCCGAGGAGCGCCTCGCCGCGCAGCCCGACCCCGCCAGCCCCACCTCCCCCACCGACACCACCCCGCCACACCAGGACCTCGCCGCGCTCAAGCACCACTTCCACGCGCACGAGGTACTCACCTACACTCGACTGGCTGCTGGAGGCCGAGGAGCGCCTCGCCGCGCAGCCCGACCTCGCCTGCCCCACCTCCCCCACCGACACCACCCCGCTAAATATTTTATAACTAAATTTTAACATTTCGTAATGATTTGACATTTTTACGACTTTATTTTTCAGCGGTTCCTGCTGGAACTGTCGGAGCAGCAGTGCCGCATAGGAGGCGTGTTAGAAGAAGGAGCGAGGCTCGTGCGCGATGCTGCACTCTCTCGCGACGAGGTGAATGAGGTGAGTGATGCCTTATTCGTTTGTTCAATATATTTGCAATCTAAGACTAAGTCAACTTGTTTATACTTGATTACCGACTTGATCCATTTTTGGTACTATATGATGCGCACGAAATACCATGTTATGCTTGTTAAAAACATATTCGTAGGAATGTGTCTTTATGTTTTTCTTTTAAGAGACTATTTTATTTTCTTTATAGCCTATTTTTTTGATGATTATAATAATTAATTAAGTTGTTGTAAGTTGTAAGTGGTGTGGTTGTTTGTGTTGCAGGTGCGGCTGCAGATGCGGCTACTGAACGAGCGCTGGGAGCAGCTGCGGCGCGGCGCCATGCAGCGGCAGGCCAGCGTGCACGCCGCGCTCATGCAGGCGCAGCACCACCACCTGCAGCGCTTCCGGTAACTACTGCTTCATACACAGGCACAGACACACAGATACACACATATAGACACACAGACAGACACATATACAAGCACACAGACACACAGACAGATAGACAGAAACAGAGACAGACACACAGACAGGCACACAGATATACAGACAGACAGACACACATACGGACAAACATACAGACACATATACGGACACACACACACACGCGCGCGCGCACGCACGCATGCTCGCGCCTACGATAACGCCTTGCTCGAGCAGGCGCAGCACCACCACCTGCAGCGCTTCCGGTGACGCACTGCATCATACACTCTCACACACCGCACGCAATCGTGTACGCCGCGCTTATGCAGGCAGTGTTCACATGTGTATGCATACATTTATGTTGCATACATAAGATTTACAATTTGCACTTTTGTACTGTATAGGCAGTGGCTGACGGAGACTGAGGACCGCATGTCGCGCATGGAGGCGGAGGGCGCGGAGGGCGTGGAGGGGGAGGACGCGGAGGGCGCGGAGGGCGCGCTGGCGGCGGTGCGCGCGCTGCACGACGACCTGCGGCGCCAGCAGCCGCTCGTCGACGCGCTCGCCGACTGCGTGGTTGTCGTCGACGACGACGCGCACGACGACGGTACGCTTATTCTGCCTCACTTTTTTGCCGTCTGAAAAATAATATGGTGTTTTTTTAAGTGAAATAGAGGCTATCCTCGAAAGTATTTGTAAAATATAACTGATAGGCAAAATTTATGAAAATCCAAAAAAATACATAAAAGCATCGCTCGCGCTACAGCTTTCATTCACTAGCGATCGATGCAGATCGCTAGTGAATGAAAGCTGTAGCGCGAGCGAGACGCATGTACATTCCTTTCGTTCTTTCGGCATTCCTAAAGGCTGAATGGGGGCGGCCGACACATTGTTGCAGCCAACATTAATGAATTCATATTTTTAATAATATTTTTATGCTTACCGTATACTGCAACATATAGACGTATTTAAAAAATCGAAATTAACTTATTTACAAACTACACTGATTGATATTTACAAAATTATACTATATTATTGTTATTTACAAAAAGTTTATCTTTTTAGCGATATCACATTAATTGTTAAAAAAGTCTACCGTGTCTTTCTAAACAGAAACTAGCACGTCTTCGTAAATTGTTTGTTAAACTTTCACTAACACTGTGCTTCTTCTGTGTACACTAATCGTCTTAGTTTGGCCCACAAATAAAAGTCTAGAGGTGTTAGGTCTGGTTATCTTGCCGGCCCCTTCACTGGTCGACGGCGACCTATCCACCTATCACTGAATCGACTCTCTTGTCGAATAGATTGTAAATATTGCCTCGCACCGTCCAAGTTTTCACCAGATAAGACATAACATGTCACCATTGCTAGGTACTCGACATTAGAGTATTGGTACATGTTTACAATAACTATCAGCGGGCATACGTCACAGCGCAGCTGATCGCAGGTCTCTGCAGTGGCAGCGAGCGGCGCGGGCGGCCCTGCGCTCGCGACCTTGCCAAGGACAAGGACAAAGAGGCCAACGGGGCGGCTGGCTCGGCCGGCGTGTGCATTTTTACTGCCGCTCGTAAAGTACGCACCCTGCGTATGATTTGGATTTCGATAGTTTTTAATTGATTTATTCATTTATTTTCAAACTTGTTTTTTTTTTAGTATGGACAGTTTACTTAAGTTTAATAGTGTTTATTGATAGTTCATAATTTGAGATTTAAAAAAAATATCAGTGCTTCTACTCCGTTCACCTGTTACACCCTATTTTTTTCAGACTGTAAAAAAAGTCATCCAGTATCTTTATCCATTCATGTGTCGTCTATCGTGATGCGTTGGATGTAGGTTGCATTATCCTGTGTATATTATACCACTAAGCAATAGGTATACTATACACATATTTAATATGTATAATATACATGGTTATTTTGCAATAACCGGCCAAATTTGCAGAGGAGGTTCAAAATAGATAACAGAGCGAATGGTGAAAAAAAAAATAAACAAGAAAAAAACTTAAACTTTTAATACTTTATATTCAAAAGGTGTGGAAATGCATTATTTTAATTGCTTGTCATTTGTAAGGGAGTGTTGGGTTGTAGAAGACTGCAATGAAGTGGACGATATGAATGACAAGCTCGTGGAAACTGTCCATGCGGTTGGAGCTAAGTTCTGCAAGACCCGCCGCAGAAGAACACAAAAACTCTCCGATCACACTCTTAATCTCATGGCTGTTAGACGGGAGATGAAGCTACATTCTTCAACAGACTTGACAGCATACAGGCATCTGAACAGACAGATCTCCAAATGCATGCGGCGGGACTTACGCAACTTCAATACAGCTCGTATTGAAGAAGCGATCGAGCGGAACCAAGGCTCCAAAGTCTTTGCCAGAGATCTGTCTGCCAGAAAGAGCCAACTGTCAAAGCTGAAGACAGAATGTGGCAGCATCGTTTCCGGGACACCTGAGATTTTGAGTGAGATTGAGAGGTTCTATGGGCAGCTGTACACATCATCGTTGGAGCCACACGCAAGTGTGAGTAACGATCCAAGAGCGAGTCTCATCCGACACTATTCCGAAGATATCCCGGATGTCAGTCTGAGCGAGATTAGGATGGCTCTCCAGCACCTTAAAAACGGTAAGGCCCCAGGCGAGGATGGAATTACAGCGGAGCTTCTGAAAGCGGGTGGAAGACCGGTACTTGAAGTCCTTCAGAAGCTCTTTAATTCCGTCCTCCATGGTGGCATTACACCGGAGGCGTGGAGCAGAAGTGCGGTGGTCTTGTTCTTCAAGAAAGGTGACAACGCTCTCTTGAAGAACTACAGACCGATTTCCCTTCTGAGCCGCGTCTACGTGCTGTTTTCGAGAGTCATTACGAATCGTCTCGCGCGCAGACTTGACGACTTCCAGCCTCCCGAACAAGCCGGTTTCCGAAAGGGCTTTCGCACCATAGACCACATACATACCCTTCGGCAAGTTGTACAGAAGTCCGAAGAGTACAATTTGCCACTATGTCTGGCGTATGTGGACTATGAGAAAGCCTTTGATTCCGTCGAAATTTGGGCGGTGCTGCAGTCCCTTCAGCGGTGCCAAGTTGACTGTCGGTATATCGAAGTGTTGAAGTGCTTGTACAGTAGGGCTACGATGGCTATCCGAGTACAGAACCAGAGTACGAAACCTATCCAATTGCAGAGAGGTGTAAGACAGGGTGACGTCAAATCCCCGAAACTCTTCACCGCTGCATTGGAAGACGTTTTCAAGCTTCTGGACTGGAAAGGATACGGTATCAACATCAATGGCGAGTACATCACTCACCTTCGATTTGCCGACGATATAGTCCTTATGGCAGAATCGCTGGAGGACCTAAGCACTATGCTCAATGACCTCAATAGTGTTTCCCAACGGATAGGTCTTAAGATGAACATGGACAAAACTAAGATCATGTTTAATGTCCATGTCACACCTATGCCGATAGTTGTTGGGAACACTAAGCTCGAAGTTGTTGACGAGTATGTTTACCTGGGACAAATAGTCCGACTGGGTAAGTCCAACTTCGACCGAGAGGTCAATCGACGGATTCAACTCGGCTGGGCAGCGTTCGGGAAGCTACGACACATCTTCTCGTCAGACATACCTCAAAACCTTAAAACGAAATTGTACAACCAGTGCGTGTTGCCAGTGATGACTTACGGAACTGAGACGTGGTCCTTCACTGCTGGCCGTATGAGGAAGCTCAAGGTCGCTCAGCGAGCTATGGAGAGGGCTATGCTCGGAGTTTCTCTGCGTGATAAACTTAGGAATGAGGATATCCGCAGTAGAACCAGAGTGACCGACATAGCCCAACGGATTAGTAAGCTGAAGTGGCAGTGGGCCGGCCATATAGCTCGAAGAACCGACAACCGATGGGGAAGAAAGGTTCTCGAGTGGCAGCCTCGTACCGGTAGGCGAAGTGTAGGGCGTCCCCCCCACGAGATGGAGTGACGACCTGGTAAGACATGCAGGAAGTCGATGGATGCAGGTGGCTCAGGACCGTGTTTTGTGGCATTCTTTGGGGGAGGCCTATGTTCAGCAGTGGACTTGTGAAGGGCTGTAATGATGATGATGATGATGATGTTGGGTTCCGAAGCAGCTGTTGGTGGCATAAGGCGCTCGCGCTCTGTTACAGATTTAGGAGTCTAATATTTGTTTTAACTCGGTAAAAACAAACGCGTCTCCCCGACTCCCCGCCTTTTCCCTTCCAATACACCGCTGGGTACGTTCACCTGGCCGGGCGACACCCGATAGTGTTTTTTTTTTTTTTACTTATTATAAGCCAGTGCTTGACCACAATCCCACCTGGTGGTAAGTGGTGATGCAGCCTTAGATGGTAAATCGCACTGTCTTATCGTAACAAAAGCCTATTCACTTTTGGCTTGAAGACGCCTTGTTGACTTGATCGTGACCTCATTAAATACCAAGTGTACTATTTTTAAATTTTCGTAGGTAGTATTACTCGTCACAGCCAGTATTATGTCTGAAAAATATTGAATTCTTCTGGGTATCACCCATTTCATTACCAACGTGTGCAAGCACTGAATAAAAACGATGGTCTACCTCGAAAACATTTTTTGAATGGTTGTTGTCAAAAATTGATAATACTAACATTATATGGACTGACAAGTTTACGTCAAAGAGGCCCAAAGCTATGACGACCTTCGCAGCAAAGTAATTGCTGCATTCACAGAAGTGAAAAATGCTCAGACACATGTAATTAATGTGAAAAATAATTTAAGGAAACGTGCTCAACTGCATTGTGAGAAACGGACTCCATTTTGAACACGTATGAAAATACCAGTAAGTTAGTTTTATTTTAAGTGATTGCATATTTCAGATGTAAATAGGTAATCGTTTTAAATTGTTAATAGTTGTAAATACTTGATTCCCGGGCAAACCCGCAACAACACATTACCTATTGCATATAACTACATACTTACGCAGAAAGTTGGTTTGAAGACTATAGATCATAAATTTCTAGTTCCTGGTCACACACATTTAAAGTGTGATGCTGACCATGCGTCAATCGAGCGAGCCAATAAATATAATGGAAGAATTTCGATTCCAAATGACTGGTACATGTTTGTGAGAATGGTCGTCAGTAAGTTCACTGTGATAGAATTGTCACAAGACGATATTTTTGCATTTTCGAGCATTCTAAAGCAGTAGCTTACAAAGAAGACCAAAGATCAGAATAACGTACCTTTTCTGTGGCGTAATATATTTTGGATACGTGTCGAGAAAGAACATCCTTGTTTCTTTTCTTTTAAGTATTCACTGCGAGTGGAAGACGAGTTTAAAATATGTGACATGAAGAGGAAAGCCAGAGTCAGTCGAAATAATCAGCTAATAATGGATGTTCGTAAGGCGTACAATCAGCCATTATTAATAAGTAAAGAAAAACATAAGGATATTTTATCTTTATTACAGTACATTGATCCAGTGTACCACGATTTCTATAAGAATGTAATAAAGTCAGACAACGACGTAGTAGACACATCACACATTAGTGATTATATATTCCGATTCTGAATAGAAATTATTCTATTATTAAGTCTATTATCTTATTTTTTAATGCTGCTTCGAGCGCAATGCTATATGCCAAATATTCTGCATTGTCATTTTAAATTTAAATAAAGTATTTTTCTCACATTTGTCTTTCATTTAAGATCATAACACGATAACTACCTTCTTCTTTTGATCACAGTGTGACAAGTGCAACCATTCTTTAAAAAAGAAAAACGTGAATACTACGCATTCCACAATGAACTTTAATTAGTATTTTTACAAATTAGTAACAAAGGCGATGAACTTGATTCCATACAAGCTTGGGCCCGGCGTGAACAAACTTAAAATATGTGTTAGTTTGATAATTTAAATATTTGCTTCTTATATCCAAAAATCATATTTTAGCCGGGCCTGCGGTTTTTGTTTTTATATTGTTTTATGATTTGTAGGTTATGTAGTAAAATCACTCGTTCTTGTGATAAGTTGTTTGAATAAATTGAAAAAAACACAAAAGAATGCAGTTTTGTAGTTATTATTATATAATAAAGTAAAATAAAACTCAACCTTTTTTAATTGTTTAACTATTTTCTGCAATTATCAATAAAATGTCATCTAAAAAAAAACAGCCGGAGGCTGTACATTGTCTGTTCTATTCCTCTCAAAACTTAAGTATCACATTATTTTCATTATATGGGCGCAACACACTGTCCTGTGATCCTAGAGAAAATCCAAGAGTCAAGTTAAATAAATCCACGAAAGTAAAAACACGAAATCTATCAAAAAAAAAAAAACAGCTACAATGCCAAGTGCGCAAGCCACATGACCATAGATAAATAAATATGTAGCAAGCTACGCACGACAAGCTGAAACTTGAAGTTACCAAGTTAAGTCTCCTTCGGAATATGCAATGATCAATAACCATACGGCCTATTCAGTCGTGTAGGATAATATTCAAATGATTTTTGATTTAATGACATAGCCTATTCAATCGTTTTCTAAATATATTATTTTATTTAATAATTTATCGTCATGTTACCTACATATTTTTGTATAACTGTTACGAACGATGTCAACAACCCAATTTCATACATCTCCTTTCCTTAATTTTAAAAATATTTTTTTTTCATATATCGAGTGTTTCATATTTTAATAGTGCCTTCAAGATTTCTTAATAATTTAATTGCTTGTCCTGTAAAGTGATGAAATTGCATTTATCATATTCTGTATAACTGACCTATGGTCATAGTTTTGTTTTAGTGTAGTGGCGGGAAAGAATACTCACTACCCCATATCTTCCCGTAGGTGTCGTAAGAAGCGACAGAGGGAAACTGAGGCAGAGGATGGGCAGCAGTATCTTTCTGATAATAGCAAAACAGCAATATAAAAAACTGCGGTTGGCAACCCGCTCGCCAAGCGTGGCAACTATGGCAATATACCCCCCATGAGAGTAACGCGACCATGGTAACGGCGGGGCAGGGGGTGCTAAGAATCTCCGGTGGAGGTTCGGTTGCCACCTACGACGACTCGACCTGGCAACTTATAACGCACGCACCCTGAGGACTGACGAGAAGATCCTGGAGCGGGAAGAAGAGATGGAATATCATAGGATTATCCGAGATCCGAAGAAATGGGGAGGACACGGTAATCCTCAAATCCGGCAACTTGTTCTATCACCGGGAGGGCGACCATCTGTCCCAAGGAGGTGTCGGATTTATCGTCCACAAGTCTCTCGTTAACAACATTGTAAAGATTGGGAGTGCGTCGACGAGGGTTGCGTACCTTATACTCAGAATCACCAAACGGTATTCGCTGTAGGTCATACAGGTTTACGCACCAACCTCGGCACACCCCGATGAGGAGGTGGAGGGAATGTATGAGGATATCTCTAGAGCCACGCATACCTCGAAAACCCAATATACGGTGTTAATGGGAGACTTCAATGCAAAACTAGGCACAAGAGAGAACGGTGAGCTGAAAGTAGGGAAATTTGGAATAGGGCAACGGAACCCAATGGGCGAGCAGCTGGCCGACTTCATGGAGAAAGAGGGACTCTTTATGATGAACTCTTTCTTCCAGAAGCAGTCCCACAGGAAGTGGACCTGATCGAGCCCCGACGGTTCGACAAAAAATGAGATTGACTTCATTATGACGACCAGACGACAACTGTTCAGTGATGTTTCAGTGATCGCGAGGGTGAAAACCGGTAGCGATCACCGAATGGTGAGAGATACACTTAACCTAAACGTTAAGTTGGAGAGGTAACGTCTAATGAAGTCAACGCTCCGTCCCCCTCGTGCTCTAATCCAAATTCCCGAAACCTTTCAGCTCGAGCTACGAAACCGTTTTCAGTGCCTGGAAGATTGCAATGCAATGGACAAAATGAATGACAAGCTCGTGGAAACTGTCCATGCGGTCGGAGCTAAGTTTTGCAAGACCCGCCGCAGAAGAACACAAAAACTCTCCGATCACACTCTTAATCTCATGGCTGTTAGACGGGATATGAAGCTGCAGTTTTCAGTAGTTTTGACAGCATACAGGCAACTGAACAGACAGATCTCCAAATGCATGCGGCGGGACTTACGCAACTTTAATACTGCTCGTATTGAAAAAGCGATCGAGCGGAACCAGGGCTCCAAAGTCTTTGCTAGAGATCTGTCTGCCAGAAAGAGCCAACTGTCGAAGCTGAAGACCGAGTGTGGCAGCGTCATTTCCGAGACCTGAGATTTTGAGTGAGATTGAGAGGTTCTATGGGCAGCTGTATACATCATCGTTGGAGCCACACGCAAGTGTGAGTAACGATCCAAGAGCGAGTCTTATCCGACATTATTCAGATGATATCCCGGATGTCACTTTGAGCGAGATTAGAATGGTTCTCCAGCACCTTAAAAACGGCAAGGCCCCAGGCGAGGATGGAATTACAGTGGAGCTCCTGAAAGCGGGTGGAAAAACGGTACTTGAAATTCTTTAGAAGCTCTTTAATTCCGTCTTCCATGGTGGCATTACACCGAAGGCGTGGAGCAGAAGTGTGGTGGTCTTGTTCTTCAAGAAAGGCGACAACGCTCTCTTGAAGAACTACAGACCGATTTCCCTTCTGAGCCGCGTCTACGTGCTGTTTTCGAGAGTCATTACGAATCGTCTTGCGCGCAGACTTGACGACTTCCAGCCTCCCGAACACGCCGGTTTCATAAAAGGCTTTAGCATCATAGACCACATCAAATTGTACAGAAGTCCGAGGAGTACAATTTGCCAACTATGTCTGGCGTATGTGGACTATGAGAAAGCCTTTGATTCCGTCGAAATTTGGGCGGTGCTGCAGTCCCTTCAGCGGTGCCAAGTTGACTGTCGGCATATCGAAGCATTTAAGTGCTTGTACAGTAGGGCTACGATGGCTATCAGTACAGAATCAGAGTAGGAAACCTATCCAATTGCAGATAGGTGTAAGACAGGGTGACGTCATATCTCCGAAACTTCACCGCTGCTTTAAAAGACGTTTCCAAGCTTCTGGACTGGAAAGGATACGGTATCAACATCAATGGCGAGTACATCATTCACCTTCGATTTGGCGACGATATAGTCCTTATGGCAGAATCGCTGGAGGACCTAAGCACTATGTTCAATGACCTCAATAGTGTCTCCCAACGGATAGGTCTTAAGATGATCATGCACAAAACAAAGATTATGTTTAATGTCCATGTCACACCTATGCCGGTAGTTGTTGGGAGCACTAAGTTCGAAGTTGTAGGCGACTATGTTAACCTGGGAAAAATAGTCCGACTAGGTAAGTTCAACTTCGACCGAGAGGTCAATCGACGGATTCAACTCGGTTGTGCAGCGTTCGGGAAATTACGGCACATCTTCTCGTCAGGTATACCTCAAAACTTGAAAACGAGACTGTACAACCAGTGCGTGTTGCCAGTGATGACCTATGGAATTGAGACGTGGTCCTTCACTGCTGGCCGGATGAGAAAGCTCAAGGTCGCTCAGCGAGCTATGGAGAGGGCTATGCTCGGAGTTTCTCTGCGTGATAAACTTAGAAATGACGATATCCGCAGTAGAACCAGAGTGACCGACATAGCCCAACGGAATAGTAAGCTGAAGTGGCAATGGGGTGGCCATATATGGGGGGGCCCCATATGGGGTTCTGCCTCGTACCGGCAGGCGAAGTTTAGGGCGTCTCCCCTCTAGATAGAGTGATGACCTGGTAAGGTATGTAGAAAGTCGATGGATGCAGGTGGCTCAGGACCGTGCTTTGTGGCATAGTTCGGGCCTATGTTCAGCAGTGGACTTGTGAAGGGCTGTCGTGATGATGATGATGATATATATTTTATTTTAACATACACTCCAAAGACCAGAAAAAGGAATATTTGAAATTACGGGGAGGCTACAGGTGAGGAATAATTAATGTGTGTGTATGGTGTGAATGCAGGCGTGGCGGAGATCGAGGACCAGCTGCGCGCGCTGGGCGAGCGCTGGTCGCACGCGTGCCGCTGGACGCTCGCGCGCCGCGCCCGCCTCGCGCGACAAGCAGCGCTCGCCGCGCGCCGCGCCGCCGCCTCGCAGCTGGAGCACGCGCTCAAGCAGGTGCGCGCACACGCAGTGCACTACACACATTGCACATGCAGCTGCTGCAGCTGCTCCAGCTGCTCCAGCCGCCGCGCGCCGCGCCCGCCTCGCGCGACAAGCAGCGCTCGCCGCGCGCCGCGCCGCCGCCTCGCAGCTGGAGCACGCGCTCAAGCAGGTGCGCGCACACGCAGTGCACTACACACATTGCACATGCAGTTGCTGCAGCTGCTCCAGCTGCTCCAGCCGCCGCGCGCCGCGCCCGCCTCGCGCGACAAGCAGCGCTCGCCGCGCGCCGCGCCGCCGCCTCGCAGCTGGAGCACGCGCTCAAGCAGGTGCGCGCACACGCAGTGCACTACACACATTGCACATGCAGCTGCTGCAGCTGCTCCAGCTGCTCCAGCCGCCGCGCGCCGCGCCCGCCTCGCGCGACAAGCAGCGCTCGCCGCGCGCCGCGCCGCCGCCTCGCAGCTGGAGCACGCGCTCAAGCAGGTGCGCGCACACGCAGTGCACTACACACATTGCACATGCAGCTGCTGCAGCTGCTCCAGCTGCTCCAGCCGCCGCGCGCCGCGCCCGCCTCGCGCGACAAGCAGCGCTCGCCGCGCGCCGCGCCGCCGCCTCGCAGCTGGAGCACGCGCTCAAGCAGGTGCGCGCACACGCAGTGCACTACACACATTGCACATGCAGCTGCTGCAGCTGCTCCAGCTGCTCCAGCCGCCGCGCGCCGCGCCCGCCTCGCGCGACAAGCAGCGCTCGCCGCGCGCCGCGCCGCCGCCTCGCAGCTGGAGCACGCGCTCAAGCAGGTGCGCGCACACGCAGTGCACTACACACATTGCACATGCAGCTGCTGCAGCTGCTCCAGCTGCTCCAGCCGCCGCGCGCCGCGCCCGCCTCGCGCGACAAGCAGCGCTCGCCGCGCGCCGCGCCGCCGCCTCGCAGCTGGAGCACGCGCTCAAGCAGGTGCGCGCACACGCAGTGCACTACACACATTGCACATGCAGCTGCTGCAGCTGCTCCAGCTGCTCCAGCCGCCGCGCGCCGCGCCCGCCTCGCGCGACAAGCAGCGCTCGCCGCGCGCCGCGCCGCCGCCTCGCAGCTGGAGCACGCGCTCAAGCAGGTGCGCGCACACGCAGTGCACTACACACATTGCACATGCAGCTGCTGCAGCTGCTGCAGCTGCTCCAGCTGCTCCAGACGCCGCGCGCCGCGCCCGCCTCGCAGCTGGAGCACGCGCTCAAGCAGGTGCGCGCACACGCAGTGCACTACACACATTGCACATGCAGCTGCTGCAGCTGCTCCAGCTGCTCCAGCCGCCGCGCGCCGCGCCCGCCTCGCGCGACAAGCAGCGCTCGCCGCGCGCCGCGCCGCCGCCTCGCAGCTGGAGCACGCGCTCAAGCAGGTGCGCGCACACGCAGTGCACTACACACATTGCACATGCAGCTGCTGCAGCTGCTCCAGCTGCTCCAGCCGCCGCGCGCCGCGCCCGCCTCGCGCGACAAGCAGCGCTCGCCGCGCGCCGCGCCGCCGCCTCGCAGCTGGAGCACGCGCTCAAGCAGGTGCGCGCACACGCAGTGCACTACACACATTGCACATGCAGCTGCTGCAGCTGCTCCAGCTGCTCCAGCCGCCGCGCGCCGCGCCCGCCTCGCGCGACAAGCAGCGCTCGCCGCGCGCCGCGCCGCCGCCTCGCAGCTGGAGCACGCGCTCAAGCAGGTGCGCGCACACGCAGTGCACTACACACATTGCACATGCAGCTGCTGCAGCTGCTCCAGCTGCTCCAGCCGCCGCGCGCCGCGCCCGCCTCGCGCGACAAGCAGCGCTCGCCGCGCGCCGCGCCGCCGCCTCGCAGCTGGAGCACGCGCTCAAGCAGGTGCGCGCACACGCAGTGCACTACACACATTGCACATGCAGCTGCTGCAGCTGCTCCAGCTGCTCCAGCCGCCGCGCGCCGCGCCCGCCTCGCGCGACAAGCAGCGCTCGCCGCGCGCCGCGCCGCCGCCTCGCAGCTGGAGCACGCGCTCAAGCAGGTGCGCGCACACGCAGTGCACTACACACATTGCACATGCAGCTGCTGCAGCTGCTCCAGCTGCTCCAGCCGCCGCGCGCCGCGCCCGCCTCGCGCGACAAGCAGCGCTCGCCGCGCGCCGCGCCGCCGCCTCGCAGCTGGAGCACGCGCTCAAGCAGGTGCGCGCACACGCAGTGCACTACACACATTGCACATGCAGCTGCTGCAGCTGCTCCAGCTGCTCCAGCCGCCGCGCGCCGCGCCCGCCTCGCGCGACAAGCAGCGCTCGCCGCGCGCCGCGCCGCCGCCTCGCAGCTGGAGCACGCGCTCAAGCAGGTGCGCGCACACGCAGTGCACTACACACATTGCACATGCAGCTGCTGCAGCTGCTGCAGCTGCTCCAGCTGCTCCAGACGCCGCGCGCCGCGCCCGCCTCGCAGCTGGAGCACGCGCTCAAGCAGGTGCGCGCACACGCAGTGCACTACACACATTGCACATGCAGCTGCTGCAGCTGCTCCAGCTGCTCCAGCCGCCGCGCGCCGCGCCCGCCTCGCGCGACAAGCAGCGCTCGCCGCGCGCCGCGCCGCCGCCTCGCAGCTGGAGCACGCGCTCAAGGAGGTGCGCGCACACGCAGTGCACTACACACATTGCACATGCAGCTGCTGCAGCTGCTCCAGCTGCTCCAGCCGCCGCGCGCCGCGCCCGCCTCGCGCGACAAGCAGCGCTCGCCGCGCGCCGCGCCGCCGCCTCGCAGCTGGAGCACGCGCTCAAGCAGGTGCGCGCACACGCAGTGCACTACACACATTGCACATGCAGCTGCTGCAGCTGCTCCAGCTGCTCCAGCCGCCGCGCGCCGCGCCCGCCTCGCGCGACAAGCAGCGCTCGCCGCGCGCCGCGCCGCCGCCTCGCAGCTGGAGCACGCGCTCAAGCAGGTGCGCGCACACGCAGTGCACTACACACATTGCACATGCAGCTGCTGCAGCTGCTCCAGCTGCTCCAGCCGCCGCGCGCCGCGCCCGCCTCGCGCGACAAGCAGCGCTCGCCGCGCGCCGCGCCGCCGCCTCGCAGCTGGAGCACGCGCTCAAGCAGGTGCGCGCACACGCAGTGCACTACACACATTGCACATGCAGCTGCTGCAGCTGCTGCAGCTGCTCCAGCTGCTCCAGACGCCGCGCGCCGCGCCCGCCTCGCAGCTGGAGCACGCGCTCAAGCAGGTGCGCGCACACGCAGTGCACTACACACATTGCACATGCAGCTGCTGCAGCTGCTCCAGCTGCTCCAGCCGCCGCGCGCCGCGCCCGCCTCGCGCGACAAGCAGCGCTCGCCGCGCGCCGCGCCGCCGCCTCGCAGCTGGAGCACGCGCTCAAGCAGGTGCGCGCACACGCAGTGCACTACACACATTGCACATGCAGCTGCTGCAGCTGCTCCAGCTGCTCCAGCCGCCGCGCGCCGCGCCCGCCTCGCGCGACAAGCAGCGCTCGCCGCGCGCCGCGCCGCCGCCTCGCAGCTGGAGCACGCGCTCAAGCAGGTGCGCGCACACGCAGTGCACTACACACATTGCACATGCAGCTGCTGCAGCTGCTCCAGCTGCTCCAGCCGCCGCGCGCCGCGCCCGCCTCGCGCGACAAGCAGCGCTCGCCGCGCGCCGCGCCGCCGCCTCGCAGCTGGAGCACGCGCTCAAGCAGGTGCGCGCACACGCAGTGCACTACACACATTGCACATGCAGCTGCTGCAGCTGCTCCAGCTGCTCCAGCCGCCGCGCGCCGCGCCCGCCTCGCGCGACAAGCAGCGCTCGCCGCGCGCCGCGCCGCCGCCTCGCAGCTGGAGCACGCGCTCAAGCAGGTGCGCGCACACGCAGTGCACTACACACATTGCACATGCAGCTGCTGCAGCTGCTGCAGCTGCTCCAGCTGCTCCAGACGCCGCGCGCCGCGCCCGCCTCGCAGCTGGAGCACGCGCTCAAGCAGGTGCGCGCACACGCAGTGCACTACACACATTGCACATGCAGCTGCTGCAGCTGCTCCAGCTGCTCCAGCCGCCGCGCGCCGCGCCCGCCTCGCGCGACAAGCAGCGCTCGCCGCGCGCCGCGCCGCCGCCTCGCAGCTGGAGCACGCGCTCAAGCAGGTGCGCGCACACGCAGTGCACTACACACATTGCACATGCAGCTGCTGCAGCTGCTGCAGCTGCTCCAGCTGCTCCAGACGCCGCGCGCCGCGCCCGCCTCGCAGCTGGAGCACGCGCTCAAGCAGGTGCGCGCACACGCAGTGCACTACACACATTGCACATGCAGCTGCTGCAGCTGCTCCAGCTGCTCCAGCCGCCGCGCGCCGCGCCCGCCTCGCGCGACAAGCAGCGCTCGCCGCGCGCCGCGCCGCCGCCTCGCAGCTGGAGCACGCGCTCAAGCAGGTGCGCGCACACGCAGTGCACTACACACATTGCACATGCAGCTGCTGCAGCTGCTCCAGCTGCTCCAGCTGCTCCAGCCGCCGCGCGCCGCGCCCGCCTCGCGCGACAAGCGTAGGCGCAGAGGGAGAGAGAGAGAGAGGTGTGAAGAGGCTGCGCTTCCCACATCACCGAAGCTGTTGTAGAAGTAACTTTGGGTCAATATTCCTGTGTAAAAAAAGTGAGGGTATGATTTTTTTAAAAAACCATTACTCATAAACTATACTTTTCCGCAACGAGGAAATGGGATTTTCTTTTTGATTTTTTCAAGAACCTTTTATTGAGAGTGGTATCGGGAGTAAGGGGACGCTCCCCCTCTTCCCCAACGATTCTAAATTTCAACCCTTGCTAAATTACACTTATTATATATAACGTCACATTATACTTTTCTCAATACACTCTCCACATTATTATCGCAACCTTAAATTAGCACACAACCCGAACTAAGTGTAATGTACACATAAACCGCGTATACCAGTATACATTTGTAAACCGCATGTCAGCTATTTTCATTTACTTATTTATACTTTGAATAACTACCCGTTTTTCAATCAAGACAAGATATGTCAAATAATTAGTTACTTTGATTAATTTCCTGACATAATTTCTTGTCGTATGACTTAATATTTCTCTAATTTCACTACTTAGTATCCTCAATGTATGTTGCCAGTGCCGTCAACTTAGGTCTCACGTTATGAATGTTAAAACTTTACAAAATCAAATAATGTGTCAAATTCAATTTTTTTTTACAATATACCATGTATACTGTAAAATAACTAATCGTCGTCATAAAATGACTTGAATAACTATATTTATTACATATAATATATGTAGATGGAAGCGAACCCCGTGAACGAAATCGGCGAGGTGTTGGAACGCATCCAGGAGCTGCAGCGCGTGAAGCACGGCGTGCGGCTGGAGCAACGCGCCGTGGCGCAGTTGCTGCAGTCCCACGCTCACGAACAGTTCCAAGCCCACGAGTCCCACGGCGACCAGGAGCCCGACCCCGCGCTCGCCGAGGAGACCGAGGCGCTGCTCGATCGCCTCGACGCGCTGCTGCTCATACTCGACGTGCAGGCTTCTAGAGTTAGTCATCAATTACTACATTGTAATCGCACACTTAAAACTTTTTCAAATCCGTAGTTGGACATAGGCCTTTTCAAAAATGTCCCAGTTCCTGCGCACAATATAAAATTAAAGTTTAACGCACTAAATCACTATTGCATTATCATTTTATTTATTCAGTATTATAAGTCTTTTTTAAGCGCCATTTTCTACAAAAATCATAATCAGCAGTTACTAGTACTACTTGCACGTGGGGTTAGATGAGCTATAACTGTTACAACTGCTTCTTCTAATGCATTCTACATGAAGAAAGGATAATGAATAGTAAAATACATTTTTATACATTTATTTTTTCGCAAGTGTTGGTATTATATAATATCTTTACCATAAGGCTAACTTATCTGTTACATTAAATTTGTTGTTTTGATAGTCGATATATTTTTATAGGTATTTCTAATATTGATACTACCGGTTTATTATAGATACGCGACTTAGGTTTCGAATTCGACATCGATACGACAGAAGAAACGATGGAGATGCCGACGCCGATGGACGCAGACACGAGCACGGTAACGACGACGATGCGAGTCGAGACCACGACCACGACGACGGCAACGACGACGAGCGACGACCACACGGCAAGCAAGAAGCCGCGGCTGGGCGACGAGGGTGCGCGCCACTTCCAGGCCTTCGACTCCTGGGCGCGCGACGCTCAACAACAGCTGCAGCACGTGAGGACTCCCTAATCATAATCCATTTCTGTGTGCATCCCATCGATCACTGAACCGCTATTAATATTTATTTAACGTTGGCACTGACAGTATTATATCACACGTGATAAATTGATAGAAAAAGTATTTTTCTAAATTCGTCCTTTTTGAAGTAAAAACTTCTTTATTTGAAACTAAATGATATGACAAAGCGACACTAAAAAGAGAAATATTAATATTGAGATTTAGCCTGTGAGAGTATGAGGTAGAATCCAGTATACAGTATTTAATATTATTCGGTCTTCTCTTTGTGCGGTATATAAAAGATGGTTATTTTAAATTAAAAAAAAAAAACATCCAATCCATTCATAATAATTCACGATTTCATATAATTTACCGATTTATATTAAATTAGTCGTTTTTAGGCAATCTAGCGTCTATTTTACGTAACACTGAGAATTTTTGATCTATAAAATGACTACCTATACAGGGTTATTTTTCAAAGACTAGCCAAATTTAATGATTAAGTTCAAAATATAAATACTGTTTAGGCAAAAATATTATACATTTGAAACGTGAATTTTTTAACGTGCGTTCGTAGCGTAGCATCGATAGCAAGGTCACCCGCCCCCCACCCGGTCGCATTCCACGGCGGTATCGGCCGGATTTCTCGAGAAGCATTGTAAGGTTTTTTGCGATCTATACTGACGTCTTAGTGATTAGCGCCTATTTTTGTTACGAAAGTATTAACCCGCGTAAATCGTTGCGTCTACGAGAACACGTATTGTACTTTAGGACTTATTAATTTCTGTCAAATTAATTGTGCAACTCCGATAGTGATTTTCCTTTGAAGTTCTACGTTTGGCTGTACCATTACGTGACAAAACGGAAAGAGTGACTCAAGAGGGGAATAGTTTCGGGGCTACCAGCGGATACCTTCTCCAGGACAGTATTGTGTCATCTAGCCCAGGCCTTACACACAGATTCATACAAAGCACACATACATTCACTACACTTCCATCAGCCGGGCAGATCCTGGTGAACCGTCTCCGCTCCGGAAGCAGGTAAGTGCCTTTCCCTTACCGGTCTTTCCCCCTTATTATTTATTTTAATTAGAGAACCTTCCACTTTGGCGTTAGGAGGCCTGACCTACATCTGCTCGTCGAAACTCAGCTGAATGGGCCCCTGAGGATTTGATCTTTAGGGGAGCAGCCGTAGGCCGTAACAAATTGGTAGCAGTAGCGTGGCTGATTGTGTCTACAATCACGCCCGGCCGTAATACGTAAAATTAATATAATATAATTAATATAAATAATAATTCTTTTCCTTTGTTGCTTTGTTGCTCGCCTTTTTTTGTTGTTAGTGGGTAGTTGCTAACGCCACGCCCGTAGGTTAACAAGCGGGAATTTTGTTGAGGCGAAGTACTTTGATTAGGTAGATAAGGTTGTCACGTAATCGGATAATTTGTTCATCGTACTAGGGTTGTTACTTGCTAATTTGATTTGTGTTTTTTCGTGTTAACTTGTATTTAATTTAGTAATTGTGTAATTTCTATTTAACTTGATTGATAGGAACTGTATTTGTTATTTTTGTTATTTGCTAATTTGAGCAGCGTAGTATTTGTATTTAGTAGGGATGCCGTCACAGAAGCTACTAATTAGTTGCTTGCGGACTGAGCTGCGCTGGGCTACCAGCGCACACGCTTTGATAGGCCGACCGCATAAGGTTTATAATATGAGGAAGAGGCTCGAGCAGGTCGATGCTCGAAGGGCTGCCGTGGAGGAGGCTTACGCTGAGCTCGAGGACTCGGAGGTGGAAAAAGGAGTCCTGGACTCCTGCCGCGCGGACTACGAGCAGTTCCTCGCGCTCACGGACGACTCGATCGAGGCGGGGGCCAAGGACGCGGAGAAGGAGCGCGAAGCTCGGCTGAGTGGCCTGCTCGAGTCCCCTCGGAAGCCGCCCACTCAGCCAGAGCTGTTAGGACGACTCCCCACGCTGGAACTGTCAAGGTTCTCCGGGGACCTCTCGGAATGGCTGACCTTCGTCGGTATGTTTGATAGTCTGGTGGACGCCCGGAGGGACTTGACTCCCTGCCAAAAAATGGGGTACCTCCTGGCATCACTGGAGGAGGAGGCCCTGGGCGTCGGCGGCCACCTTAAGTTGTCGGACGACGCCTACCAAAACGCCAGGGACCTCCTCGCTGGAAGGTACGCCAACGTCCGGCGGATTGTTGACGAGCATGTTCGGAGGCTGCTGAACCTCCCGCTGCTGAGGGACCGGACCAGACTACGTGAGGACATAGTGAATTCAGTCGTCGTAGCGTGCAACTCGTTGCGGCGGCTGGATTTACCGGTGGACGAGTGGTCTTTTTTGTTACTCCATATCGTGCTGTCCCGCCTGCCCCTCGACTTCGGCTCCATTTTGAGGAGAGGTACGGAGGGGATGGCGCCTCGTACATTCCCCCCTTTAGGGACCTGCTGCGGTTCCTGGAGGAGCAGTGTAGGCAGTTAGAGAACGCAGCAGGCGCCGTCGAGGGCCCCCCGGCCGCCGCCCGAGCGGTGCCCAGGGAGAGCCGGGATCAGACGGCCAAGGCGTCGCCCACCCCCCTGAGGCCGAGCGGAGCCCCCGCGGGAGGGCGCCCCTCCCCTACCCTCCTATAGTGGCCTAGCGGCCCGGGAGGCGCCTCCCTGCTCCTATTGTCGAGCATCCGACCGAGCACCGAGCACGAGACCGGGCCGCGTCGTGCCCTAAGTTGTTGCGCAAGCCTGCTCCGGCGAGGCGAACCATCGCCAGGGAGCGCCGCTGGTGCTACTCGTGCCTGGAGAGGCATTTACAACGAGACTGCCAGCATCAGCGGCCCTGCACGCGCTGCCAGGGCAACCACCATATCATGTTGTGCCTGGGTGCGCGCGGCGCGTCCTCTCCAGGCGCTGCCAGCCCCCCGACTCCCACGGGCGGGGGCGCTCAGCCACGCCCCCTGTCGGGCGACGCTCGGCACTCGCCGGTTGACCACAGCGCCCCTCGTTCTGAGGGGAGTCCCTCCCCCGACCGTCGGAGTGCCGCTCTCGGGGCCCCCGGTTCGGGTGCCGGTCCGACAGAGGCAGCTCCAGATAGGAGGCTGCCGCCCTAGCTCCCGCCATGGCCGCCTCCACTGAGCCTTTGAGCTGTCAGCAGTCCACCTGTCAAACTGTTCTTTTGCCGACGGCCTCAGTGAAGGTGTACAACCCGAGCGGCGACCGCTTAACAGTTCGAGCTCTATTGGATTCGGGTTCCCAACGCAGTGTGGCCTCCACTTGGTTGGTGGGAAGACTGGGGCTCCCCTGGAGCTCTGAATCACGTCCGATGGTAGGTATCGGAGGTGCCGAGCCTCCTGCTCCTAGGGGACAAGCGGAGTTGGTGTTCAGGCCTGCCAGCGAACACCTTCGCATTTTAGTCAAGGTAAATGTCCTTCATGACATTGTAGGGTTTCTCCCTAACGTTCGTATAAATGACCGCGCGGTTCGCTGTGCTTAGGCTTTGAGACCGGCAGACCCTCGGTGGGCCCAACCTGGGCCTATAGATTTGTTACTGGGGGCCGACACGCTGGGGGTCATCTTGTTAGGTGAGATACGAGCTCTACAGCCCGATGGCCTGTCAGCCATTTCCACGATATTTGGGCACAGCTTCTTTGGACCGGTTATGTGGTCTCCTCCCCCTCCGACGGCCGACCCGCTCTCCGTTGTGGGCGTGTTCCTTTCGGACGCCGTCCAGCGGTTCTGGGAAATTGAGGAACCACCACTTGCGGCGCGAATCAACCCTCTGGACCGTGAGTGCGAGTTGTTCTTCCAGAACAATACCGGCCGTCGGGTCGACGGTCGTTTCGTCACTCGCTTACCCTTTCTGGACTCACGTCCTTCTTTGGGCCAATCTCGTGCACTAGCCGAGAAGAGGTTGCTTTCCATGGAGCGCCGCTTGCGGCGCGACTCAGCCTTTCTTGCCAAATATGTCGAGTTCATGCGCGAGTATCAAGAGCTGGGTCACATGTCACCGTCCAACTTCGAATGGCGTTCACAGGAGCACTACTTCCTCCCTCACCATGCGGTCTTGAGGACCCCTGAGAGTAAGATTCGGGTAGTTTTTGACGGTTCCGCCCCCACATCAAATGGTGTGTCTCTGAACCAGTGTCTTCACTCGGGTCGTAAACTGATAAAGGGCATATCCGACATCTTGACCCAATTCCGTCGACACCAAGTGGCTTTTGTAGCGGACATTCGGATGATGATTCGGATGATTTCGCCAATCAGTGGTCCATCGTGATGACCGTCGATATCAGCTGATATTGTGGTGCGAGAAGCCCAGCGATCCTATACAGGCGTTTGAGTTGAACACCACCACATACGGACTCCGGTCCAGCCCGTATATCGCCATGCGAACCCTCCTTGAACTCGCTGAGAGAGAGCGCCTGAGATACGCTCGGGGAGCTTCTATTTTGGAGACTTCGGTCTACATAGACGACATTTGTACGGGCGCTTCCACCGTCGAGGAGGCTCTTGTCTTGCGAGACGAATTAATTGCCATCCTGAAGTCCGGAGGCTATGAGTTGCGCAAGTGGTTGTCGAACTCCCCTCATATTTTGAAGGACCTCCCAGGAGAGGCTCAACAAGACCCTCATCTGTTCGAGCACCCTGAGAATCCTAATTTGTTGACTGTGCTGGGCAGTCAATATCAGCCTGTTCAGGACACCTTCACGTATAGAGTAAAACTTGACCCACCGCCCAAAGCATAGACCAAACGCTTCGTGCTGTCTACCGTAGCCCGCACCTTCGACCCTAATGGATGGATCACCCAGGTCATCTTTTTGGCTAAGTGCTTTCTTCAAAAGCTCTGTATGTCCGGGTTGGGTTGGGACGAGCCTATTAGCGGAGTCCTCTTGTGAGAGTGGCTCTCCATGCTCTCCTCCCTTCCGGACATCAACCGGGTTTCCATGCCAAGGTGCTTCCTCCCCCCCGGGAAATGCAGGGCTACCCTACATGGGTTTTGCGACGCCTCTGAGAAGAGCTATGCTGCTGTCGTTTATTTGCGGACTGTGAGTTCCTCTAAAAGCAAGGTTGCTCCCATTAGGTCCCGCTTAACTATCCCTAAATTGGAACTGTCCGGTGCCGCTCTTCTCACGCGACTCCTCAACCACGTTCAATCGTCCTTGAAGCCTGTAATCGACATTACGGGCGTCTACGCATGGTCGGACAGTGGGATAGTACTTTGTTGGCTCCGAGCTGCACCTCACAATCTTGAGGTCTTTGTGGCGAACCGCGTGTCTCAAATACAGAGCTCTGAGACTTCTCTCAACTGGAGACATGTCCCAGGGGAGTTGAAGCCCGCAGACTGCGCTTCTCGCGGCTGTGAGGCCCCCTCGCTGGTTGACCACCCACTGTGGTAGGGTCCCGGTTGGTTATCTGAGTCTTAGTCATTCTGGCCTCCGAACCTACCGAATTGCCGGGCCTACGAGCCCGAGTAGGAGTGGGCAAGGATAAGCCCACTCGGGATCTCTCTCTTCTGGAACGGTACAGCTCTCTCGATAACCGCTTAGGAGTTATTGCTTGGTAGCGCCGCTTTGTCCTCAATTCGAGAGACCCGTCCAACCGACTCTCTGATTGCGTTTTGTCCCCTAGCGAGCGTCGTGAAGCTTTGATGCATTGGACCCGTATGGTCCAAACGGAGCATTTTGAGCCCGTCATTGAAAATTTGAAGCGTGGTTCCGTTATCAAGGGCGCCCTGGCCCGCCTGAACCTCTTTCTGGACGACGCTGGGATGCTGCGCGTTGGCGGACGTTTGAAAAATTCTCAACTGCCGTACGGGGCTCGACACCCGTTGCTGTTCCCTAAGGACGGCGCCCTTGTCCGGTTGCTGGTAGCCCACCACCATGTTAAGAATGCCAATGTGTAACGCTCTTTCGGCTATTTTGCAGCGGGAGTTTTGGATTTTGGCTGGCCGATGCACCATTCGGAGCGTCATCTTTAAGTGCATATCCTGTTATAAACTGAAGGCCACCATATCGCAGCCTCTCATGGGTGACTTGCCGCCCGACCGCGTCAGGGCCATCCGACCATTCGCTGGAGTCGGAACCGACTTTGCTGGCCCCTTCCTCGTCAAGTCCTCTAACCTTCGTAACGCGCGTTCGTATAAGGCCTATCTTTGCGTCTTCGTGTGCCTCTCCACTAAAGCCGTTCACTTGGAACTTGTAAGCGCCCTCAGCACGGAAGCCTTCTTGGCCACGCTTGGCCGTTTCGTATCGCGGTGCGGTTTGCCGGACTTGATCTGGTCGGATTGCGGAACGAATTATAAGGGCACGGATAGGTATCTAAAAAGGTCGTCGAATTTCTGTCTAGCCACCGGACTTATTTAGGTAATGCTATGTCAAAAAGGGGCATCCAGTGGAAATTCGACCCTCCGGCGTGTTCTCACTGGGGCGGTATTTTCGAGGCGGTGGTTAAAGTGGCAAAAACGCATCTCCGTCGCGTTATTGGTGAAACTATTTTGACATTTGAGGAGTTCGCCACTGTATTCTGTAAAATTGAGGCTGTACTCAACTCTCGGCCCCTCTGTCCCCTCTCATCCGACCCGAATGATTTGGAGGTTCTAACCCCGGGACACTTCCTTATTGGCCAGCCGCTTAACGCTCTGCCCGAGTACCCCTTCAGGGAAACGAACGCTTCGCGGCTGAGCAGGTTTGACCTGCTGCAACAGATGACTCAGAGCTTTTGGCACCGATGGTCTCTGGAGTATCTACATCTTTTGCAGCAGCGCATTAAGTGGTCTGACAAGACGGAACCTCCTCGGGTGGGAGACCTCGTGTTGGTTAAAGAACCCAACGCTCTACCTTTGTATTGGCGCCGTGGGCGCATTGTTAAGTTGTCATATGGAGCGGATGGGGTGCCTAGACTGGCCGAGGTTTTGGTCGGAGATTCGGTCTTGCAACGTGCCGTCGCGACCTTATCCCGTTTGCCAATCTACTCGCGGACGTAATTCCTTATGTCCGGCGCGGGGGTTTGTTTAGGCAAAAAATATTAAACATTTGATACGTGAATTTTTTAACGTGCGTTCGTAGCGTAGCATCGATAGCAAGGTCACCCGCCCCCACCCGGTCGCATTCCACGGCGGTATCAGCCGGATTTCTCGAGAAGCATTGTAAAGTTTTTTGCGATCTATACTTACGTCTTAGTGATTAGCGCCTATTTTTGTTACGAAAGTATTAACCCGCGTAAATCGTTGCGTCTACGAGAACACGTATTGTACTTTAGGACTTATTAATTTCTATCAAATTAATTGTGCAACTCCGATAGTGATTTTCCTTTGAAGTTCTACGTTTGGCTGTACCATTACGTGACAAAACGGAAAGAGTGACTCAAGAGGGGAATAGTTCCGGGGCTACCAGCGGATACCTTCTCCAGGACAGTATTGTGTCATCTAGCCCAGGCCACTTACACACAGATTCATTCAAAGCACACATACATTCACTACACTTCCATCAGCCGGGCAGATCCTGGTGAACCGTCTCCGCTCCGGAAGCAGGTAAGTGCCTTTCCCTTACCGGTCTTTCCCCCTTATTGTTTATTTTAATTAGAGACCTTCCACTTTGGCGTTAGGAGGCCTGACCTACGTCTGCTCGTCGAAACGCAGCTGA